ATTTACGACTTTGTATGCTTGCAAAGAAACTAAAAATTAAATATGTCCCTTTTCTGTGAAGCTTCTTTAAAATTCACATCTCTGATACATATATATATGAATATATGTAAATAGCCAAGGGAGAGTTGGTAGCTTCCATTCAACATATTTAGCTGGATCTTTTCAACCAAAATGTAAATCTGCAATGTATTCTAATGTAACCCAATTAGAGCTACTAACACCATCTGTATATATATTTTTGGTTCAGCTGTCAAAAAACACACAAATACACCCCAGTAATACAATATTCAATAGTTGTATGATATTTCATTGTACTATACTTCATTTAAACTTTTTCCTATTTTTTTTTAAAGATTTTATTTATTTATTTGACAGAGAGACACAGTGAGAAAGAGAACACAAGCAGGGGGACTGGAGAGGAAGAAGCAGGCTTCCCGCTGAGCAGGGAGCCCGATGCAGGGCTCTATCCCAGGACCCTGGGATCATGACCTGAGCCGAAGGCAGACGCTTAATGACTGAGCCACCCAGGCGCCCCTTCCTATTTTTTTTTTTAAAGATTTTATTTATTTATTTATTTGAGAGAGAGAGAGAGAGAGAGAAGGAATGGGATAGCGGCAGAGGGAGAGGAAGAAGCAGGCTCCCCGCTGAGCAGGAAGCCTGATGCCGTGGCTCGATCCTGGGACTCCAGGATCACCACCTGAGCCGAAGGCAGACGCTTAACCGACTGAGCCACCCAGGCGCCCCCTTCTTTCTATTTTTAAATGAACCAATTTTTCCTTTTTTCCTTTTAGAGTTACTATTTTAGTGCATATTTTAATAGGTAAGTCTTTGTTTACATCTGATCTTTTTTGGAGGATAGATTATTAGAAGTGGAATTACTACGGCAAACAATAAGCAATTTTAAATCATATGTTTTTAAATAAAAGCAAACACATGTATTTATTTATTTATTTATTTTTTTTAAAAGGTTTTATTTATGTGAGAGAGAGAGAATGAGAGATAGAGAGCACAAGAGGGGAGAGGGTCAGAGGGAGAAGCAGACTCCCTGCTGAGCAAGGAGCCCAATGTGGGACTCGATCCCGGGACTCCAGGATCATGACCTGAGCCGAAGGCAGTTGCTTAACCAACTGAGCCTTCCCACATGTATTTAAAAAGCCAACTTTAAGGGACACCTGGGTGGCTCAGTCAGTTAAGCGTCTGCCTTCGGCTTAGGTCATGATCCCGGGGTCCTGGGATCGAGCCCCACATTGGGCTCCCTGCTCAGCAAGGAGTCTGCTTCTCCCTCTGCCCTTCCCCCTGCTCATGCTTGCTCTCTCTCAAATAAATATACAAAATCTTTAAAAAAAAAAAAAAAAGAAAAAGTTAACTTTAAGACTCCTAACAAAACAACCTAGCACTCCCCAGACCCTATCTGTTCTGTGTCCTTCTGTTTAGCTGTTTGTTCTGCTGTTTACCTTCAAACAGTGCTTTTCTTTGATTTTAAATTTTAGACATTATTTATTGAGTCTACCAGGAAAGGAATAATTACATTTCTTAAATTGATGAAACATACTCTTTTTCTCTCCCCTCCTCCCATTGATTACGCTCTTTCGCTTAAATCAATATTCTGTATTTATATTTTTATGCTGTATAAATATCATTCTCTAAGCCATGAAGAGTATTATGTTGTATTTCCTTTCTTATACATTTAAAATTTTTTCACAACAGCTAATAACTGCTTATCTTAATCCATATGTTTAGTGTGGCTGTTTTAAAACCTGGACCGAAATTCTTTGACCTTTTTCCCATTGCTAGGTGAGTCTACAAACTGTTCTTGATTGTGGGTGGGCTTGTGAGTGTTTGGTAAGAGTTGATGGAAATGACTCTGTGTGACTTCTGAGGCTGGTCATAGAAGAAGATTCAGTTTCCACCTTGTTTACTGGAACATTTGTGTTTGGAGTTCTGAGCTGGCAAGTAAGAAATCTGACTATTCTAAGGCTGCCATTCTGCAAGGAAGTCAAGCTAAATGGAGGAACCACGTGTGAGCACTCTGGTTGGTCAGCAACATGGTCTTGACATCCCAGCCCAGGTGCCAGTGTGAGCTGAGTCTCCAGATGATTCCAGTGCCCAGCCCTGCTGAGTCACCTTCGGCCTGTGGGTCATTCCAGCTGAGGCCCGAGACATTAGAGAGTCATCCTCTCTGTGTGCTGTCCAAACTCCTGACTCAAAATTCAAGAACATAATTACATGGTTATTTTAAACAGCATCACTTAGTTTTCCATGTATCTATTGTTAATTTGTCTTTAATTCTCAACACGGTCAGGGCACCTGGGTGGCTCAGTCGGTTAAGTGTCTGCCTTCAGCTCAGGTCATGATCTCGGGGTCCTGGGATCGAGCTCTGCGTTTGGCTCTCTGCTCAGTTAGGAGTCTGCTTCTCCTTCTCCTTCTGCCCCTTCCCCCATTCATGCTCTCTCTCTCAAATAAATAAAATCCTTTTTTTTTTTTAAAGATTTTATTGATTTATTTGACAGAGAGAGAGATAGTGAGAGCAGGAACACAAGCAGGGGGAGAGGGAGAGGGAGAAGCAGGCTCCCCGTGGAGCAGGGAGCCCGACATGGGGCTCGATCCCAGGACCCCGGGATCATGACCCGAGCCAGAGGCAGACGCTCAACCGATTGAGCCACCCAGGCGCCCCAATAAACAAAATCTTAAAAAAAAAAAAAAAAATCCTCAGTATGGTCAAGGACGTTAGTTCCATTGTTTTCCTTAGAGAAGTTTCTCCTGGAGGTCTCTGTCGTCTTGTTCCAATCCGGACTGGAGGCACACCCATCAGCCTGGGACGTGCTTGGATGAGAGCCGGCGTGGCATGTCCCTCGTTACTGAAGGGTGTGAGCCCTGTGGCAAGGCTGCCTGGGTTTGGATCCCCGCTCCACTACTCGCTAGCCGTGTGACTGTGTGCAAGTTAATTTCTCGTGCCTCAGGCTCCTTATTAGTAAGTGCTTGGCACACAGTAAGTGCTCGTATTGCTGGCATCATTGCCGTTTGTTATCCCTCCTCTCGTGCTGCCCTGGGAATTCTCACTGCCTCCAGCCTATGTCCGGATCCCCCAGACCCTGGATTCCATGTCTTTCTCTTTCTTCGGTTACTTCCTTGTCTTAATAAAACACATCACCCAGAATACATCTCTTGGAAAAAGACGCTTGGGAGGTCAAGGTTTTCGAGATCTTGGGTATCTGTTCTGAACTGTCTTTATTGAACACCACACTTGATAATGTGACAGTCATAAAAGTCTAAGTTGGAAACAGTTTTCTCTTTGAATGTTGAAGCTATTAGTCCATTGTCTTGAAGCTTTCAGTGTCACTACGGAGAGGCTGTTCCGATTCTCCACCCTTTGTAGGGTAGGTTTTTCTTTTTCTTCCTGGAAGTATTAGGTTCTCTTTTCATCCCCGTATGTTTCAAAATGTGATAATGATAACACTTGCTGTTAGTCTTTTAAAATTAATTATTTAGGGCACTATTTCAATTTGGAAACTTAGGTCCTTCAGTTCTCAGGACTTTTCTTTCTAATTTTTGTTGTTAATTTTCTCACCTCCATTTTCGGTTTTCTCTCTCTGGGACTTCTAATAAATATAGGATCTATTGAATTGGTTCTCTAATTTTCTTATCTTTTCTGTTGACTTTTTGTTCAACTTTCTTGGAAATTTTCTCATTTGTATCTTCTAGTCTTCTGATTTAAAAAAACTCTGCTTTCATATTTTTATATTTTATGATTCTGATTTCTTATTCTTGGATTGTCCCTTTTTATGTATCACATGTTCTTATTTCATGAATTTAATGTCTTCTCATTGAGTAGATTGATTACAGTGCTTTTGGAATGTCTTTCTTTCTTTGCATGGTCTGTTTCCTCCAAGTTCTGTTTTCATCAGTTTGCTTTTGACTCATTCCCTCATGGCACAGGATTTTCTCAACTTCCAGGGGTCCTTTATTCCCTACTCTATTTCAGCTGGATATTCTGTGCACTTGGATACTCCGAGGCTTGTCAACTGGTGGGCCTCCCTGTAGGAGGCCTGGTCAGGGATATGGCACAAGGGAGCCCCAAGCACCCAGGTCCATAGGTCTTTTCTCCTGGGCTTGACAGTTTCCCCAGAAATGAATCCTCTCATTTTCTACCAGGTGAATATGAGGGATTTTAAGCTGGCTGATGGCATTTTGAAAGCCAACAAGGGAAGAGGTTTAGGAGAGGGAAAATCTTATCGTTCGAAAAGCGGATATCATGTAGGCTCTCTTTGCTTTAAGTATGGCTGCCATCCCCACCCTCAGCTGTGTAGGCACACAGTTCCCCAAGTCAGGTCTCACATTAACCCAATCAATTAGAACCACAAAGCTAAATAAGCTCCATGAAGTTTTAGGTAAAAGGGCAATACTTTATCATTCTAGAATTCCTGGATTAAAAGAAAATTAAAAAAAAAATTCCTTCTCATTTTTTATACCTTCTCTCCTGCAAAAAAGTAGGAAATTCACCCAATTTAAGCCCCTTTTCCCCTCTGACTTTACCATACTTTTTTTCTTTGATAATACCTCAGAATTGGAATATTCAGGGTCCAAGTTTGTTTTAAAATAACCCAATGAGCTGACAGACGGAGCTTCTGGAATTCTGCAGCTTGTGCTAGAGTCTGCAGATGGGAAATTGCCGTCAGTTAAAGGGTGGTGCTATTACCATAGCCCAATTTTTGAAAGCCTTTAGGAAAAAAAAAAAATCCTCTGAGTTAATTAGCATCCACCACAGGCACTGGTTTTGTGTTGCAGTATTCTAAGAACTCAGATAATAAGAAAACAGTATTTCAAACACTAACTTTTAACTAACATTTGCCTCTTAAAAATGCAGATTATAAAGTAAGAATGTTACCTGTTATATGAAAATGCTCTTATATGGCTTAGCTCATCATGAAATATCAATTATGTTCTAAAATCAACTAAATACTACTCTACTGATACCTAAGATAGGAATAATTTTGTTTTACCTCTCCGATCTGCTTAATCCACAAATCTCTTCCAAGAAACTCCTGATGTAAGACTACAGGAGCTGAGTTTAGATTAAAAGCCATGGAGTCACTGGTCTTTTCTTTAATAAAAGGCTGGAGATCAGAATTTATCTAGGAGGAGTAATCAAAAGAGTTAAATTAGTAAAATGCATACATACTAGTACGTTTTAGTCATTTCAGAAAGCACAAGTTAATGCACTGAAAATTGAAGCTAAAGGAATACAGCTTTTAGATGAACTCTAATAAGCAAAAGAACAGTGCATATGATTAACAATAACCTTTAAAATTCTTTAAGATAATTTTTCCCTGACACATTTCCTCTTCTATTTGGCAGCAGACTTTGTTTTACTTTTTAAGTTAAAGCAATAATTTAAATAAAGTTTTAGTAAATGTAATTGCTTAATATTAAATATTAAATTAAATATTAAATTTAAGATTTAATAAAATATATCAAAACTCATCTGGAGATATTTTACGTATACATAACATATGTATATATTTTCTCCTCTCTCAAGAGCTATTTAAGTAACATTTAAGAAATATGTATCTGGGGCGCCTGGGTGGCTCAGACGGTTGAGTGTCTGCCTTCGGCTCAGGTCATGATGCCAGGGTCCTGGGATCGAGCCCTGCATCAGGCTCCCTGCTCGGCGGAGAGCCTGCTTCTCCCTCTCCCTCTGTCTGCCGCTCTGCCTCTTATGCTCTCTATCTCAGTTAAATAAATAAATAAAAATCTTTAAAAAAAATGTATCAAATAGAATTTTTAAGTTACATATATACAGAGACAGCAATATAACAGCTAACTCGAAACTTTTTATATTTCATAATGCCCATTCAAAAGAGTCAATTATTAGAATTAAAGCTTTCAATTTTACTCAGTATATTTCTAAATTTCATAACCTTCCATAATTTGTTTTACCTAAGAAACTGTACATGAGGGAACTGTAACAAAAATGCAAATATTCTTTCATTCTGTAAATGGCAACATTACATGTTATTTAATAATTTGTAAGAGTTCTCTTAAGAACCCTTTCAGGTAGTAAGAAAAGACAAGCATCATAATTACGGTGTAAGTTGTCGCTTTCTATCAGAGTTACACAGTACTTACCAATCATACTGTTTGTATTATGTGACAATCACCATCGATGGCTGATGGATTTTAAGTGAACAATAAACATTTTTTTTTGAGATATAAAAGCAGCTTATTAAATGGCAAGAAGTTTCTTATGCATCATTTTAGCTATTTAAGTACTGGAAAAAGAGAAAATGTGCAAATACCTTATGACTCATGGCCATGTGCTTCCCATACTGAAATGCCATATCCTGAACGTCAGCATCATGCTTTGCTAATTCCATGGCAGCTTGGCAGCTCTTTGCTAATAAGGCTCCATGGGAGAGAAAAGTCTGCTTCTTCCAAGTCGATATTCCAATATCTTCTGTGATATGATTTTCCTAAAAAAAAAAAAAAAAAAAATGCAACAAAGCCAGGATTTTACAAAAATGCTTTAGGAGTAATTTAATTGTTTTGGCTTGTGAAGAATAGAAGAGTTAAGAAATGAACTATTTTAAAACATTCAGGTATTGCAATAAGACAGAACTAAAAGACGCTAAACCCCAGTGCTACCTAAAGAGAGCTAAGGAGGTGGGAACTGCTGTTCTAGGGTAATGGCGGGAAAAATGAAAGAAATGCTGAAATAAATTTTAGTTTGAACTAGGACACTTCTATTAAAATTTATTTGTAGGATAAGGCAAAATTAGAAATTTGCACCTACAAACTCACTCTTTTCTATATTCACGTAAGTTCTTGAGTGCTGGTATTCCAAGACACCAGAAGCTTATTGCCTTTAACTTATGTGGAAATGTCAAGGGCATAATGAAGAAACTGCATTCTCTTAGAAACAGTTAAATAAAAAATCACAGAGGAGGTAACCCATTAAATGGAGTATGATTGGATCCATTATCCATCCAAATTTATTCCCATAAGAAGAAACAAGTACATAAGGAAGTATATAAGTGTAGTTTATTTAATTTTTTATCTTCTTAAATTATGAAAATCATTGTAGTATCTATAAGTATATACATACCTACCACCTCTAGACCAGTGATGTCCAATAAAAATATAATGTAAGCCGCATATGCAATTTGAAATTTGCTAGTAGTTACATTAAAAAAAGTGAAAAGGAACAGGTGAAATTAATCTTAATGACATATTTTATCTATCCCAATATATCTAAAATATTATTTCAACATATAATCAATATAAAATTATTGAGATATTTTTATTTTTTTATACTAAGTTTTCAAAATCAGTGAGTATTTTACACTTAAGAGCGCATCACTAGCCACATTTCAAGTGCTCAGTAGGTACAAGGAGTTAGAGACTGACCTACCAGACCAGTCTGCTCTAGGCAGGTGGCTCCCTGAGGAAAAGAATGATGAACAAAGTATATAAAACAACGTTCATTTTATGGATTTCTTTGAAACTTCAAGCAAACTGGAACGCATCCAGAAGGATTAACTAACCCAAACACTTTCTTCCTGCTACCCATACCATAATCCTTTTCCTTCCATTATTCTTTGAGGAAAAAAAAAAAATAAGAAGAAAACAGGACCATGAGAAGGTCAGTTCAGATCTAGCCCTACTTCTTTCACCATGCTGAAGGGCACCTTCAGCCCACTGGTCAGATCAAATTCTCAGCTTCATTTTATTTATCATGCCTTTAAACAAAAAGAAAGTTCGACTTATGGCAATAGTTACAAGTATGCAACATAACATTGTGTAATAATAAAAAAGGCCACCCAAGGGAGAAGCAGTGCATAAAGTATTTCATAAAACATTAGGCATGAATAATAACATATTTAATTTTAAGTATTTGAGAATGTATTTTTAAGTGAGCAAAGCTAATATACCATATTAATAAATCAAAGATAGAAACCATATTATCTCTCCATATATACTAAATGGCATTTGACAAAATTCAACTCCTATTCCTGAGGGGGGAAAGAAAACCTAAATAAAATAGGAACAAATGCGTATTTCTTCAATACGACGTGTGTGTGTGTGTTCGTGCGCACGTCTGTGTGTTAGCTCCAAAGTCAGAAAATACTTTATAAAGAAACATGAGTCTTACTAAAATCGGGAATAAGAGAGATACACAACACCACTATTGTTTAACAGTGTAATGGAAGAGGCAAGAAAAGGACAGATGTGTTAGAAAGGAAGATTTTAACTCTTACTACTTGAACACAGTATGACTGTATATTGGGAAAAACCAGGAGATTCAACTAAAAACTACAATAAACAAGATAATTCAATAAAGTAGCAGCATATAAAATGAATATAATGTATTAGTAATATGACAAATGTATTTACCATAGTTTTCATGCATAAAAATAATCAGAAAGCACTCTAAGTAGGGTCTTTTCCTCCATTATATCTATGAAAAGAAAGATTAAAAAGCTGGGAATAAACTTAGAAAGGTGAAAAACTGATACGAAGAAAATGTTAAAATACTAGTGAGGGAACACAAGTAACTTGAAAGAATATAAAAACATATCATGGTTAAAGACAGTCCAGTCCAGGGACACCTGGGTGGCTCAGGCGGTTAAGCGTCTGCCTTCAGCTCTGGTCATGATCCCGGAGTCCTGGGACTGAGTCCCACATCGGGCTCCCTGGGAGTCTGCTTCTCACTCTCCCTCTGCCTGCAGCTTCCCCTGCTTGTGCTCTCTCTCACTATCTCTATGTGTCAAATAAATAAATAAAATCTTAAAAAAAAGACAGTACAGTCCAACCTCATAAAGTCCAATTAAACTCAAAAGACCTTGTTTTTCTGTCCTGAAACCAGGCAAGCTGATTCTAAAGTTCACATGGAACGAACAAATGTAATAAAAGTAGGCAGGAAAACCATGAACAAGAAGAGCAGTGTGTGTAGGGTTGGGGGAGGGAGAGAAGGGGTGAATAGGGACAGTGAGAGATGTCTAGCCCTACTAGACATTACAACTATAAAGATATCATATTTTATACCATAAAGCCTTACTAGTAATTTAAAAAAAAATGTGTACTTTTTAGACAGAAAGACAATTGGACAAAATAGTCCACAAATCAAACTGTATACAACAATTTATTAAATTTTAGGGAAAAGTTGGACTTTTCAGTAAATGGTGCTAGTACAACGGAATATCTATCTAGAAAAAAATACAGACTGATTTGCATTTATACCATTTATCAGGATAAACTCCAAATGGCAAAAATAAAAGCAAAGCAACCAACCTCAAAACCATAGGCAACGTTAGAAGACAAAGAACAATGAGGAAAAGTGTTTGCATTTTCTATCACAGACAAATGGGAAATCTCCCTGCGGTAGGCTAATAATTCGTCTGTGCCCCCTGCACCCGCCTCTCCCCAAATGTTACCTTTTTTTTTTTTTAAAAGATTTTATTTAGTTATTTGAGAGAGAGAGAGAATGAGAGATAGAGAGCACGAGAGGGAAGAGGGTCAGAGGGAAAAGCAGACTCCCCACTGAGCAGGGAGCCCGATGCGGGACTCGATCCCGGGACTCCAGGATCATGACCTGAGCCGAAGGCAGTTGCTTAACAAACTGAGCCACCCAGGCGCCCCCCAAATGTTACCTTTAACATGGCAAAAGGCACTCTGCAAAAGTGATTGAATTCAGGATGTTGAGATGGAGGGATTATCCCAGATTAAGTGGGTGGGCATAAGGTAATCACAAGGATCCTAGGAAGTGGAAAGCAGAAAGAATCAGGCAGGTGATGTGATGACAGAAGGAGAGTGAGAGACTGGAAGATGCCATGCTGCTGAATCGGAAGATGGAGGCTGGGGCCACGAGCAGAGGAATGAAGGCAGAAATTAGAAAAAGCAAGGAGATGGATCTCTCCTAGGGCCTCCAGAAGTAAAGCCACCTTGTTGACATCTTGATTTGGGGGCTTCCGACCATTAGGAAAAACTACCTCTTCAAAGCTTTTATTAAGTGTTGGTGAGGCTGTAGAGAAACAGGCCTCTCAAGCACAGCTTGTGGAAGGGGAGACTGGATGGCAATTTCACAATGCAGCCATGAAAATCACAAATGTATTTGCCCTGTGACCCAGCAATCCCACTTCCAGGAATTAATCCTACATATAAGGCCACGCACATGTGAAATGAAATATATACAAGTTTACAGTCTATTGTTCACCCAGCTGCAAGGGTGATCCTTTTACAACTTAAGTCCAACAGACCAATTGGCCTTTGTGTTGTTTCTCTAACACTCCAGGCATGCTCTTCTGAGGCCTCTGAACTTGCTATTCTCCATCAAGCACTCTCCCCAGATGTTTGCAGGGCTCAGTTCCTCGTTACTTTGGGGTCTCTGCTCAAATTTCAACTCATCTTTAATAGTCTCCCTTCCTCCCTAATCATTTCCTATCTCTTTACTCTGCTTTAAACCTCTTTTCCGTGATATTACGAGACTCCTCATAGTTACTGCTTTATGGTTTATTGCCTGTCCCCTTCGCTAGAATGTTGGCTGTACAAAAGCAAGGACTTTGTGTGTTTTGCCCTCTGCTGAATCATCAGCATTCAATATAGTACATTAAGTGTGCAATAAATATTTGCTGAGCCTTTATCCTTCTTCCAATATCTTTCTCTTTCTCTCGTTTCTACCTTCTTCTGTCTTTCCTAACCTGGAAATAATAAAGAATTGAAATAATTCTCCTGGAACACCTTCCTAAGGCTCATAGAATCAAGAAAAACTTTAGCCTACCATTTAAGGCACTCTTTTTTTGGTACCAAGCAATACTTCTAGCCCCATCTCCTACCCAAAATAGTCCTTTTGAGGCCTGCATTCCAGCAACACAGCACAATTTGCTGTTTCTTGAATAAAATATGTACTTTCACACTTGTGTGAATTTAAAAATATTATTCCCTTCAAAAAGAATATCATCTCCTCCCATCCCCTGCCTATTACATTGAATATATCCAGTTCAAATACCACTTCTTTGAGAAGCATTCTCAAATACTCCCACAAATACTTTCCTCTTTAGACTAATGTTACCTTACTTATATTACAACATAGCATTTAATTCTTTCTGAATTGTACGACTGCTTTATTTGTCTTTTCTTGACTAGGCTGGACCTTGTCTTAGGCATCTTTATATATTTTTAATCACTTAGGCCATATTTACTCTCCAACAAATGTTTGCTAAATGAATAGAATCATGTTTATCTGTTGCATTTATTAAGTATGTTATACGTTCTTTAAAAAATTTTTTTTAAAGCTAATGAGTAGATCTATTCACACAACGAATGCTATTTGGCAACAAAAGAGAAGGAACTAGGGACACATGCTCTGCAATGGATGAATCTCAAAAACGTTAAGCTAAGTGAAAAAGGCAGGCACAAAAGGCCACATATTGTACTTCATTTATATGAAATGTAGATTAGTGGTTCCCTAGGCTGG